GTGTGGGGGGGGGGGGAGCCGCGGAGCGGGGAGCTGCGGGTGGCGGGGGGAGGCAGCGGCCCCCCGGGAGCTCCCCCTCCTCTCCATCCCGGAGGGCCGCGACCACCAGAGCCCCCATCCAATTTCCAAGTCCTCGCTAATCCGGCAGTGCAAACAAGCGCTGCGGGCTCTCTACTGTAAACATTGCGCACTGGCCTAAAATATGCACGATATTAAATTCATAATACTGTTATGTCAGCAACAGACGGTAATATGTGGATATGGAAACAAAAACATTCAGGCAATAAAGTCAACTCAACCTGGGCTATGCAAACAGGCTCTGTTTTGAAAAAACACCCCATCCTATTTACCCTAGACACTGACTGAATCCCGGCAGCAGGGTCCCTGTCTCCGCGGGGGACTCTGCTCGGCCCCCAGGGCCGGGGCGGGCGCTCCGCGGCGGACGCCCCTGCGCACCCGCGCACCTTTCGCAGCCGCGGAGGGGCACGGAGCCGCGCCCCGGCCGCGGACCGGCTGCGCAGCGGTGGGATATGAGCAAGTGACAGCAGAGGAGGAATCAGCTGTCCGGTTACAAGGGTTGGATTTGTTATTTGTTTTGGGTTGGTTTTTTCCTTTCTTTTCTTTTCTTTTTTTTTTTTTTTGGTTTGAACAACCTCCCTTTTCACCTTCCTTCCGAGCCCTCAGAGCTGGAGGTTTCCTCTCTCTTACAACTGGGGTCTCGCCGCACACCGGGACCCCGCGGAGGGTATCGTGAGAAGAAACAGAGGCAACATGCGCCCTACGTGTAGAAAAAGAAGAGGGAGGGTTAGCGGATCCCTCCGTGCTTTGTACAACGAAAAATGTGATCGCTAGTCTATAGATTATATAAAACCCCAGAGAGCAGAGCAGTCAAACATCACTTCCACCGGAAAACCCCGCTCGCCAGACACTTCCCTATTTCAATCTCACTTTCTCTCGCTTTGCCTGTGGATGGACAAATCCCTGCTTAAACCCAATGCCTCTTCCTCAGGGATATCAGCAAAAATACCTGCTCCGGGGGCTGGGGAATGGGCCTTGCTCCTGCCTTACATCTGGGGGCCAAAGCACAGCGGCAGCGCTGGAGCTCCGCGGCCAAAGCTCTGTTCACCACGGAACTCTGCGGCCCTTGGCGTTAACATTAAAGGGGGAGAGGGAGAGAAAGACATAATATCATCCGCCCCCCCCCCCAAATGCAGTGAGCTTCAGCGCAGAATAATAAAGCTGTCTCGATAAATAACATGCCTGTGTCTGTCAGTAGCTAGTTTATTTGCGTTTTTCGCCTGGTTTGTTTATACTAGTGCCCCCTCTCTCTTGGGTGTCTTTACAGCTCAACAAGCAGGTATTTATCTCCAGTTCCAGCCCTGCGTTCTCAGAGAGACCAAACTTTAAGGTTATTAAAATTTCAATCATATTTATTTATTGCAGAAAAATAATATACAAAGATATTTACAAAACAATCATAAAAATAGGAATGCATTTAGACACCGGATCTATTTGCATTTTAACATGGGTCATCAATAAATAAATAAAATGTTTATTTTTTTTCTCAGAGGAAAAATAATAATAATAAAAAAGTTAGGAACCGGGTATATAACAGCTTGAGCCCAGCTTATTCCCCCCTAAAAAAAAAAAAAAAAAAAAAAAAGGTTTTCATCTCTACAGGGATATTTTTTGGTTGGTTGGTTGGTTGGTTTCATTCAAGAATGAAGAAAGTCCACAATAATGTATTTCCTTTCATCAGTGGCTCATAGGCACGACCTCTTGGGAATGCATGCAAAAAAAGGCAAATAAAAAAAAAAAAGTTAAATTCCAACATTCTTCGTCAAAATAAAAAAAAAAATCGAACGATTCAGACTTCTATCAGAATGCAGAGATGTGTGGATTGTACCGACGCCCAAAGGGTAGTCACTGTCCAAAGCCCTTGTCTCTTTCTCTTTCCTTAAGTGCTCCCCACGCCCTGCTTTGAATTTGGATATTGCTCTTCTAATTTCCAAGAAATCCTTGGTACTTTTTTTTTTTAGACAAACCAAAAAAATCGTATCCAACTTCAGAGTCTCTAGAATGTCCATTTTCTCCTTCTGTGGGAACAATGTCATCTGCAAAAACCCAGAGAGGGCGGAAAACTCGTTACTGAAATGAAAGATACACATGCATCTACCTACACCTCTCTGCCTCTGGAAATAGGCTTATCGGGCACCACCAGGGGAGGGAGAAAGGCGTGCCCCTGCCCTGCGGGCGCCACGCTGCCCCTGGGCCACCCGGCCCGGCGGCCAGCGGGGCAGAGCCGAGGGAAGGGGGCTGCTGGGGCGGTAGGAAACGCTCACGGGGAAGCACGCAGCCGGACGTGGATTCACTTCAAAATACTAGCAGCAGCGGCAGGGGCAGGGGGCCCCACCACCCCCCCCGCCC